TTAAGTGTCATATGACCTTTCATGAATCATTCTAAGGTATCTGTAATGTTTTTTAAGTGCAATAATTGTTTTATTACCACAAAACACATCACTTAAAACATTATTAATCCTACATTATTTAATCAATATCAGCGCTTGATTGTGTTCTTGCCATTAGTCTTGTTAAAGTATGAGAATTACAGCCCAACATTTACAGCGGGCCCTTGAATTGAACTAATGGTTATAATCATTATTGTTGGCTCTCTTGTTAACTCAGCACCTCCTCAGGATGCTAATAAGCACTGCTTCTCTCTCTCTCTCTCTCTCTCTCTCTCTCTCTCTCTCTCTCTCTCTCTCTCTCTCTCTCTCTCTCCTCTCTCTCTCTCTCTCTCTCTCTCTCTCTCTCTCCTCTTTTCAGCAGGCCGGTGCAGTAAAAGAGGGCAGCAGTCAGATCTTTAGTGGCTCCCTGGGAGCAAAATCAAAGGCCTCATTGATAACCAAACAGAGCCACATCATTGGGTTACAAGTGTAGACCCAGCAGGACATTCTCTTTAAGACACATTAAAAAAAAAAAAAAAAAAAAAAAACAGCCCAGAACAAAGTTTTAAAGTCACAATAAGTGTAATTAAGCTGATACTCAAGCTGAAATAATTAGTCCAAATCTGCTTCCGGGTGTCTAGAGTGATTGTTTATGTGCTATTGGTTGGTTTATTTTATGACCAGCAGACTGTTTACTTGATTTATTGTTATGCTTGTATATTTAGTTCATTAATTTAACAGAAACAAAAAATCATTTTCAAAAAGAATTAATTTCCAAACATCTTACAAAAAAAGAAATTAATTCATTTTCCTTTAGCTTAGTCTCTTATTTATGAGGGGGTTGCCACAGCGGAATGAACCACCAACTATTCCGACAAATGTTGTACGCAGCGGATGCCTTTCTAGCTGTAACCTAGTATGAACATGCACAGGATATGAAATATAAAAGGTATTAAAGGTTGGATAAGAAATAATTTAAACAAAGCGTGAATTAAATAGAGTATTAGATTGAATAGAATTAGAGTGTGAAAAGTTGAAGAAATATTTTTCAAAATATGACTAATTTTAAACCTTTCATATTTTCATAAACAAATACTAAATTAAGCACAAACTATTTTGATTTTTAATCTTAAAAAAGGCTGGTTGAGAATTTGGACTGAAAGCCTTGCAGTGACCAAACTTTCATCAGCAGAAACAATCAAAATGTTAGTTATTTTTTAAAATAATGATTTACTTGCATGGCAACAACTAAAAGTCCTTTAAGTTAAAAAAAAAATTGCGATATTAAAAAGTGCTTATATCGCTCTGTCATTTTAATCTCTACTGTAGGGCTGAACAATTAATCAAAAAATAATCAAAATCGACATTCAGAACCATTAATCGATCACATTTTTCCAAGTAAATTTTTTCAATCACTTATCTTACCGCATGTGGAGTCACATGACCCTGCTGTATTTGTTACTTTTGTGTTACTTTGCACTACATTGACGATGATTAGAAAGCTGCGCCGGAGATGCCTTGAGACGGCATATTTTCCATTACATTAAAATTTCATTTAAATTAAAACATTTGTTTACAGAGGATGCAAGAAAGTTTAAAATGTTTTTATTAGTTATTTTATCTAGAAGAGATAGTGCTTATTTTTTATTTTTAATATGAAAAACACTGACAATTATTTGTTTTGTTTCTAAAAGTGCAACTTATTTATTGTCACTTTTTTTTATAAGAAGCAATGTGTGTTTTAATTCCAGTTGTTCAATGCTGATGTTCAGAACATAATTTTAGATATATAGTGTTTGTTTTCAATTATTTTAAAATCATTTCATCATTTCCATTTAAACTTCATTTCCACCTCCATCTTTTTTTACCAAATGTTATTTTAAGAATCGTATCCTTAGCAAATGAATAATCCGAGGTATAGTAATGAAATATCAGTTCTCAAAAACAATGGGTCATACTGTAAAAATGGTTGCCTTGAATTTTTAGTTATCACTTTATTTTGAGTCCCTTTAATGCATTTTGTTGAATTTAAGTTACATTGCATCGACATGCCAACTAATTCTCATTAGATTATAAGTAGACTGTTAGGTTGGGGTTAGGGTTAGGGTTAGGGTTAGGGTTGACATGTTCTTGTTTCTTATAGTCAGTTAAATGTGTTGAAGGAGCAGTCTCAAAAGATATTAAGCAGACAGTCAACTAATACTCAAATAAAAAGTAACTGGCATAGTTGCATTGCAACTTTTAGTCAACAAGAGGTGCAATAGGGACCATCAAAATAAAGTGTTACCGATTTTTAAATTGAGTCAATTTAACTTACATTAAACTGATTTAAAACAGCTTGTATAACTTTAAAAATTACGTTGAAAAATAATTAACTTAGTAAAGTTATTCATTTTTATATATTTTTTTGTATTTTTTGTTGGTAAAATTTTATTAACATAAAAACATAAGTGTTACCATTTTTTACAGTACAGGAGGCAGAAAATAGCCCGTTAAAAGGCTGGTGTAAATATTGTGTGAATATTCCTAAACGCCCATTAAGTTTTTTTATTTATTCATTTTGGCATAAATTTAGAATAAATCTTCGTCATGAAGTCTGACAAGATATAGAGAGTTAATTCATTCATTAAATAAAACCGCATCCACTGAATTGCAGCAGCAACAGCATATTGTCTTCAGTGTCCACACTGTAAACATTCAACTTTATCAAATGAAATGAGTGTAGTTAACTCAAAATTTACTGAAAGTCAATTCTACTCAATTGAAAAGAGTTTTGAGTTCAGCGTTGAAGGTAATGAGTTAATTAAATACCTCAGTACTTCAACTCAAATGGAGTAAGTTCACAGTACTCATTAGGATTAGTATTTCAACTTAAATGGTTTGTTGCAATCCGTTTCCTCAAATAGTTTGTTACCTTAACCTTTTGGGTATTACAGTGCACTAACAGCAACAAAGTGGTTATCCTAACTGTTTAATATTGGCATGTGTTTTGGTTCTATCAACAATGTGCCACTCAATCTTCCAGTTTAGCAATAGCTTGAGAGGGGAATTTTGAAAATTGTTGTTTCAGACCTGTAGGAGGAAAACAAAGAGCAACAGGGAGGTTTTCTTCCAGACCTGCACCTCATTCTCTCTCACGCTCCTGAACAAAATACAACACCACATATTTGAAATACCCAGCATTTTACCCACCCTTAATTCTGACACCGCAACACAATGAAAACTATTTATGTAGGAGCTAACTCATGGATTTTTGTATGATCTACTCATGCTGCATTGCACATTTAATGACTTTGTTGCTATATTTAGAGCCTGATTTGATTTAGATCAACTGCCTTGTAACAAATCCACACTTTAAAATGCTGGGTCGTTTTAACCCAGAATTGGGTAAAATATGGACAAACCCAGTGGTTGAGAAAGAAATGTTGTACCTAATCACTGGGTCTGTCTGTCTACATATAAATATTTATTTATTTATTTATTTATTTATTTATTTATACATACAACAGTTCTGTCTGGTTCTTGAATCTGATTGGCTGGTAGTCGTGCAATATTTTGTCAGTAACATCACACAAAGGCCTCTTCACCTTTGTGTATTACTCCGCCAACATACAGTCAGCAACAAGCAGAGAGACACTCTAAAGTCTGACAAATATTACTGCTGTTAGACAACATAATGTACTTTTGAGGCTTTTTTTAGTCAAGAATGTAGTTGTTTAGATGGCAACTATGGAGTTTACTTATAAGGATAGTGCCTATTTTTAAATATTTACAATTTCTGAGAGAGCTCGTCGGCGGTAATGAAGTTTTTGTGAATTACACAATCATGATTGTTTTAAAAATAAGTTGAATTAATGTACTGATTATGTTACAAGGACATCAGTAATCAAATTATTTACCTTAATCTGAATGACAATAATATGATTAAGGTGTTTACATGAGTCGCTTTTTGAATGTTCCATTCATAATCCTGGTTTACATGTTATAGCACATCTTTTGATTAATGATATTGCGTCATCACGCTATTCACATTTCCTCTGTATTTTCATGTAATTTCAGATGTTTCTTTTTTATTTTTTTTTTACTTTAACTGCAGTTTGGCACTTTCACTTTCATTTAAAAACATTTCATGCATGCCCCTGTGACAAACGAGATATTGCATGCGAGTAAGGACTGCTGGAAGAGTGTTGTTTAAATGGAATTTAATACTGCACACCATATAGAAAAAAACCCTCCTCATTTCGCGATGTATGTGTCTGTGGTCTTTCTCTGACTCAGTAGGTACCAATATATTGTGCCCCCCCAATAAATATCTAGAAGTATAAATTATACCTATAAACTGTATATAACATAGTTTTCTCTGAGAGATCAAGAGAGAGTATAATATATTATATATACTATAATATAATAATAATATATAACATATATAATATATATAATATATAATATTATTATATACAGTCGAATATAATAATATTATAATAATATAATGTTTTGTAATAGTAATAATAATATTACAAAATAAAATATCCATCATGGAGCAGTCCATATAATTAAAAAAAAAAAATATTTATAATTTTTAGTTGTAAATTCATTTTAAGAAAACTAATTATTTTAAATTTAGAAATTGCATTTATTTAAAATAAAAAAGATTCAGTGATATTAGAATAGATAAATAAATAAAAAATAAATAAAAGTAAAAAGGGTGCATTTCAGGACTTGAGCCCTATTCATCAGAAATTGTTAAATATCAATTTTTTATGGTAAAAATAGACAGTTCTTACAGAACCTGATTGTTGTGCAATATATAAAGTTTACAATGAGATAATAAGCGCTTTATAAAATATAAACGCATTCCTTACACCCATGTCATAAAAACGATATTGTGTAAAAAGTGGAGTAAAATCTTATAATAGCTTGGCAAATACTAGACCGTGATATTTAGTATGAGGAAATACATAAGGAATACAGAACCACTGTTATCAATCTTGAGGAAAAAACTTTACTCGAAACCTTTTTTCCGTAAAGCATAAATAGTGATTTTTAAAAGATTGATTTCATTTTGTACAAAAATAATACAATGTGGAACAAATCACATCTTGTATAAATCCAGCATTTAACAGGAGAATAAACCAGCAATGGCAGTGGGAACATAGTTACAACATAACAAAAAAAACATTGAAATGACCTTTTGACAAGAATTCAAACTCTCAGTACTAGATTGCGGCTGGAAGAGCATTTGCTGTGTAAAACATATGCTGGATAAGTTTACGGTTCATTCCGCTGTGGCAACCCCTGTGTGAATGGGAAGGGTTTTAAATTTTACCCCTAAGAAATGGGACAGTACTACAGCACCTGCACACATCATCAGATGTCATCGCGATCTCTTGCTTCATATGAGATCAACGATCGTGACTGCTGTAGTTCTTCCAGTTGCGTTATTTGTGGGTATTTAACTAGAGGAAATCACCGAAGGCAAAGATATCGTGTTATCATAACAATCTAATGTGGTAATAAGATCGTAACTGTACTGTGCATTTACACCCTGCCCATTTTCATCAATGTAAACACACAAAACAACATTAACATTACAGCAGACACTGTAAAAAGCTCATTCCCAGCCACTAGACTTTTCTGACTGGGTATTCCAGTGTCATCGAGTGTCTGAATGTTGTGGGACTGCTAAACAGAAGCTATTGTTAGGGATTATAGATTATAGCCAAATTTAACGTGTTTTATTTTAGCGGTTTTTTTTAAAGCATAATGGTAAAACACGAATGCGGCTATGAATATATTAACACATGTGCTTGTTTGTTGTACAAATTTGAAATAATGACAAAAAAATACTGATTTATCCATCTTCTTATTTCCGTGTAGATTGTGTATTCTGGGAAATTTTCTTACCCCTTGGTTTCAAGTGTGGTCCTGAAAAATCTGTTTCAGGGGGTATCTAGCCCTTCCCATTAGCCCTATGTCTTCAAGCCAAAGAGAATTTGGACACCTCTACCCCTTCACATGAACACGCAAAACGAGGGTTAGGAGTAAGGGAAAGGGCTAAGGGGTAGAATTGGGATTGGGCCTAAATGTAAAAAAAAAAGCCACAGTAAAAACTATTTCACAATGCTTTCTGGTAGTTCAGGGTTGCGTGAGCAGCTAATACTGTTTGAAGTGGCGAACTGATTCGATTTCCTCAACTTCTGAAATTCCAGCTGATAACAATTACGCTGACCAATTCAACAGGACGCTCTTTTCTTCAGATATCTCCCCACCATCACAATGACAGTTTGACTGAAGGTCAATATTTAAATTAGAGATGTCATGATTCATGGCCGTTCTTCCCAGTATCACAAAAACTGTGAACTTCTTTACAGATAGAGTTATCTCTGAGTCTCTCCGATCGACCACTTCTTAATTCAGTATTTCTTTGGCTGGCACAGAAAGATGACTCTTATCTATCTGACGCCACACTAATGGCAGTCAACATTGACAACAGTGTCTATTTTAAAACAAGGCTTACAGAAGGATCAATAGGTTCAACGTTTTGTTGAATGTGCTTTTACATTTATCTCTCTTTTAAGATCTGACGTCAACGAAGCTTTCTGAAAAGTTTTGAAATCCTTCTCTCTGACACACTGCATATTCCAATACATCATGCCTGTTCCTTAGATTGTCACATTCACAATCACAGTTTACATGTTTAGACAGATAAAACTGAATATTTACATCCTTCATAGTAATGAAATAATAATAATAATAATAATGATATAGTAATTGCTCGTATTTACACCCAACTGTACAGAACATTTTCTAAGCATTGATATCTCAAGGAAGACGTCTTTGCATCGGTTATTTTACATTAACGATGCGTCTAACATTGTCTGATTGTCATTGGATCCACACAGTTTGATTGTAAAGTTTTACATACACACACATTTTGTGCTCTTATTCCTGGATTCCAGGTCTTCCCGCTCCATCTTTGCATCTTCATCTGACTGTGTTGTATGCGTTTCGTATTTGTTTGTTCATATGGATCATGTGCGTTCCTTAATTTAGTTTGTCCATCAATGAGAAGTAAAATACTGTCACTAAATTGGGCGCCATGTTGATCATCCGAGCCAGACTTCTAGTCACCCAACTGTGAACCCAAACACCCCAACAGTGTTCATTCTCATCAGTCCTGCCTTCAGCTCGTGGTTTATTGACCCACTGATCATCCAGCGTGCCGCTCGCACATATTATGGGTTGCCATGGATATAGGTGCGATGAAGGGGAATGGAGGTTGGGACAATGTGCTCCTGTTGCTTGGCATCGAAGAAGTCAGGTGTATACATTCACCAGGCCTGTAGTGGACACTGTGAGAAATAAAGAGCGAAAGAGGAAGTGGACACATAAGTGAACAAAATCTGCAGAATTTCCTTATCAGCCACACCTGAATAAATATATACCTCATCCCTTTGCATTCATTTCCATTGTAACAAAAGTTTTTCTTCTCGTATTGCTTAGGTGTTTTTGCTCTTTCTTTGGACATGAGAGAGGCAAGTGACCCTGCCATGACCTACTTGCCGACAAATAGGCACACCTGATAAAGGTGCTGGCCAGCTGCTCAGTTCTACACTCATTAGATGCAGGCCTGCGAATGGAGGTAAGCTTTTTTTTGGATTGGGTGGGATCACTTGGCAAACAGGAGGGTTATAAAGAGTGAGCATGGTTTGTAATGTCCCCCAAAGAGCCCTCTGCACCGCCCAGACCAAATACAGCAGGCTGATAAGAGCTTAAAATTGCCTTCTCGGTTCTAGGGGGGTTGAGGAACTACATACCTGAGATATCTAAATGCTTTCAACTGAACTTAATAGTGCTTCCACAGGTGAAATGTGTGATTTGTCCACAACTAGGGTATTCTATGTTTTGTCTAAATTTAAAATTAACACAACACTGTATGGTCTAAATATAAAGTTTACATTTAAATTGATTAGTCTTTATATATTAACCAAGTGTAGTGAAAAACATTATAGGTGAATTGTAACACAGAAACAAATTATTAGAAAGAAATGTCAACATTTTGAAGTTGAAAAACTACTTCCATCTTTTTAAAAAACACTACTCACATCAGATTAGGTGTATGTGTACATAACAACAGTGTACTAAACATGAAATAGTTAATTTTTTTAAGTTACAACAACATAAAAATCAATCCCTGTTCTTGTGACTAAAATTTGTGTAGTCATGCTAGACTAGTTGGTGAGCATGTCATGATTTTGCCAAGTACATTGCGATTCTGGATTAACATCCATATTAATGCTGAAACATAATTTTTTTTACAGTGGCCGAGAGAGAGCTTAACATGCTGCAATAAAAAAAAAAAACACATGCAATTGCAAACACCAGCAAATTGAGAAAAAGATCTTTATCTGTTTGACAGCACACATGCTGCAAATTGTCACAACGCAAACACATTTTTTAAAGATGTGCTGCGAGATGTCCACACAAAGCAAACAATTAATACAATTTTCTCACAACAGAAAAAGAATGGAACACAATGTTAATTTTTCAAGGGGACCCAAAAACATGACAGACACCGCTGTGCCGTTATTATTGTTCTGTGAAGTTGTACGTGTACCTTAATAGCCTAAAAAACATGTTTTAGGTTCTCCTTAAACATTTCAGTTGTGTTGTCAGAAAATGCAACGCATTTTCTTAAAATGTTTGCATTGTGAGAAAATGCAGCATGTTTTATAAATTGTGTTGTGTGAAAATGCGACAACTTTTATTAATTGTTTGCGTTGTGAGAAAAAGCAGCGCATTTTATTAATTTTTTGCATTGTGAGTAAATGCACATTACGCTTTGTATTTTTGTTTGAAAATGTAATCCACTCCTAATCCCTACCCCTAAACCCAACCATAACTGTAAATTATTCCCAAAATCAGAGGGGAATAATAGTTGGATAACGATCATGTATAAGAGCATAAACCCAACCATAAGATGGAATTCCTGGAGTTTTCCGGGAGACAGAACAATACGGGAGATGGGTGGGAGATGGGTCAGAAATATAGGAGACCCCCGGCAAAAACGAGAGTGTTGGCAGGTACAGTATGTAAATCAGGTTGGCGAGTTGCTGATTTCACTTCATAAAGAAACACTATGTGCATGTGCACATACAGTTCAGTAGTCCACCATTATTGTTTTGGTTGTCTAATATTCAGTCTTTCCTTTAGAATTAACATGCAATGGCCTCAACTTTTCACAGAATCATCTCTTTGATTGTTCTTTCATCTCATTTACAGCATTTTAAAACCAGTTTTCAAATTTTTAGGTCCCTAAAAGATGTAAATGCAAATGAAAGTATCTTTAGCGACTAGATCTTGATAAGAGGAGCTCATGCTGGCAGGAAGTTCAAGGCATCAGGTTCACCGCAGCTAGTGATGTGGCAGCGTGGGAAATTGGGCATGTGAAAGCGGTGACTGGAGACCGCATTTCAGGCTAGAGCGGTCACAGAGCGCAGGGGAAAAGGGAAGAGGCATAATTACTGAATACACTCCCGTCCATGGCAGGGGAGCTGAAGGAGCACGAGTGCTTTGATTAACAGTGAGGATAATTTCCTGACCTCTGTGCTAAACTGGACCAAAGAGTGACTTTGCATTCAGATTGAGGAAAGACAGAAAGGAAAAAAGAAAGAAAGAAAGAAAGAAAGAAAGAAAGAAAGAAAGAAAGAAAGAAAGAAAGAAAGAAAGAAAGAAAGAAAGAAAGAAAGAAAGAAAGAAACGAGAAAGTTGGTTTCATCAATCAAGCCGTGCTCAGTCTGCGATCACGGGTGACTGATTGGTCAAGCTGTTCAAAGGAAATAGGAATTCTAAGGAGTTTACACATATTGGTTCGCTTCACTGATTGAGATGTACAACAAACCTAGCTAAACAAAAGACACTGAAGCAGTGAAAAACTCAACATCAGTCCTATCTAGCATACTCTAGAAATCTTATTCTGCTCACTTTGGAAGTGTCTTTCCACATAATCGTATCTCTGGAGCATTAATGAAGCCAAAAGGGCACCCCTGTTGTAGGACAAGCAGACAGACTCTACCACCCATTAAATAAACTAATCAGCCTGGCTACAGCAAGTCCATTTTGGTAAATAATTTGAATTACTGACCTGTTTGCTGGAGGACATTGAGCTCAGTGTACTGAGGCTGTTGGCGTCTGTCACCACCATGGCCGGGGGAAACCGAGACGAATGAGAATACTGGGGTGGCTCCTGCTTGTGTGGGTACACTGTAAAGATAACACAAACAGCAGTTTACATCTACAGCTTTATGATGTAGGCCTGACTAGATCAATAAATACTGAATAGAGGTAGTAGACTGACTGTGTGAGTGTGAGACGGAGGCCATGAAGGACTGTTGGCTCATGTGTCCAGATGACTGTTGCATGAGCTGCTGGTGTTGGCTATTTAACTGCTGAGAGAACTGCACTGGCTGCAGTGCTGCCAGACTGCCTGCAACACTGTTTATGACAGGCACCGTCTGTGCTTGCGATGTGTTCAAACCTGAATGCAAGAATATTACGACGTCAAGAGGAGAATGTATGAATAATCTGAAAAGGAAACCAAATATGGATGGACACTCACTTTGTGCAATGGCCATGACTCCAGAGAGTGGCATTATAAGGTTAGGGGTCTGTTGGTGCACATGGTGGGATGCGTGGATGTTGGTCAGGGTGCTTACTGGAGGAAGACCTCCACCTGATACCGAGATCTGTGAAGAAAATACACCACCAGTTCATCAGAATGACTAGAACGCTTCTGTCAGAATTGTACTCTTATCTTAAGAAAGTATCAGAGCCCTGACAGGAGGCACAGAGCTTTATTTGAATAGGCAGAGTTGAGAGGAGGCCATGCTCAGACAAACGTCTGACTGCTCAGATAAGCTGCTGTCATACTCCCTTCCTCCTACGCCAACTTCCAACTGGCTGTTGACAGAAACGCACCCTAGACCATGATGAATTTGACCTATAGTGTAACACTGCAGCCTTGCTAGAAAAATTAATGCACAGAAAATTGTCCTGAAACAAAAAGCTACATGAAGATCTCGCCCAACTCAAACATTAGTATTCAGATAAGCAACTCCATTGAGCGCCAGTGTCACTCAACCAACAGAGAACAAGCACAACTCCACCCTTCCTCTCCTCTGCGCGGCATTTAATCAATACAAACAGAATGTCTCTTTGTCAGGTTTGTTGGAACAGCCATGGCCGTGCCCCATTCTCACTACCACCAGCTAACATTTACTAAGATCAGCCCTGCAGTGCACTGTGGGCCAAGGCCTGCCGTCTAGCTTTGGGTTTAGCACTGGGAAGTACAATGCAGCAATTGTAAGCCCACTTGCTGGGTGAAGATATCTATCAAGCGCTACTTTGTGTTACTGTGTCAAGAGCAGACATAGTGTTATCTTATCAGTGTTGGAAGTGCTTACCATCTTGGCATCAGGTGACAGGAGGCTGTGACTGGGGTCCAGCGCCCCTGGAGAGACCTGCTGTAACACTGACTGGCTGGTTGACATGGCATTGCTGCTATGGTGATTGATCGTTGTTGAAGAACTGACTTCACCTGGACCTTGTTGGCTGTACCGGACACCTGTTGTAAAGGAAGGAAGAGATAAATTAGTTTTAGTTTTAATCTTCTAACTGCTTTACAAAATGTGACCCAGCCAGTATTTGTTGGTCACTGACAAGTTTGGAAGAGCAAACAAACAAGGGCCTCTACATCTGGTGGCTGAACGGTCAAGGTCATCTCAATGTGTACACGTTAGCTGTCTGCAACTCTAAAAAACTATGTTGTGCTGAACTTCAGAACTTTGTTAAAATAATCTATATCAGTGCTGCACAATCCTGCTCCTGGAGGGCCCCCTTTCAGCAGAGTTTTTCTCCTGTCCCATTAGACCAAGGGTGTTCAAACTCGGTCCTGGAGGGTCGATGTCCTGCAGATTTTGTCTCCAACTTGTCTCAACACACCTGCAAGAATGTTTCTAGAAAGCCTAGTAAGAGCTCGATTAGCTAGCCCAGGTGTGTCTGATTAGGTTGGAACTATACTTTGCAGGACACCGGCCCACCAGGACCAAGTTTGGACATCCATGCATTAAACACATTTGAACTAGATAGTTTTTTTTAGAAATATAAGAAATTTCAAGCAAAGTGCATAGGAGCTGCATACTGCAGGAACATTCCTGATCTACATGAAATTAAGTTTTATGAGAGAATTATGTTCAACCTAAGCTGAATTCTCTTTTAGGCTATTTATTTTGTTGGGTATTCTTGACTATTGAAGGCCACAGGAATCCAGCCTGTCTTCTATCGAATCGATGTTTGCCAACCCCACGCTCCACAGATATGAACAAGGTAAACATTTCTCAATTAAGGCTAATGTCAGACACATAGTTTCACTCCTACATTTAAATACTAGGTTTGTGCAGCCAAGCGAGATGATGACCCAGCCAAAATAAATATTTATCATTTGTTATGGGATTATTCCCTGAGCTTTTCTAAAAAAGCTAGTGGCAGCAAAAAAAAAAATGACAGAAAAGTCTAATCCCTCTGCTGAGTTTTGTTGTGTAGCGGAACTACAGATACAACCCCTTTGCACACTTAAAACATTGCCAGCTCTCTACAATGTCTTGTAAACGCCAGCTCAGGACAATAAAGCACTCCATTGGGCCTACAACCTGCTTGGCACACAATAGGCCAGCAACTATAAACAGTCTTTACTTTACTACCGCACAACCACTAAAAGTGTCAGGGAAAGAACAGACTATTGTCTGACTCTATCAGGCATTCACTCAGACTGCAGGGATCTCCTCTCACGTTCAATCATTCAGGTCTGTGCTGTCTGGGCCATGCTGACCAGCAGGAGGGCTCGGTTTCTGAGGAAACCAGAAACCGATGTACAACCTCTGAGAACGCGACATAAAAGTTACATGGAATGGCATCATAAACTAAGTCTTAATTACACTATTCAGTAAAGCAATGTGCACCATTCAGTGACCAATGCTAAAATTAGCGTCTTGACTAAGTATAGACAACAGTTACATATTGGCAAAAAATTTCAGCTTATCACTACTCAAAAATTTGTTTTCAGGTTTCATGATGCTTGTGGTAATCACACAATACAGTTTGACCTGTAAAAAAATGCTACCACAAAACTTGGTTAAAATGACAGAGGGTTGCGGGAAATGCTGAAGGGGAGTGGAAGCAGGAGGGTTCAACTGGTTTAAAGGGTTCAGCTCTCCCTGGGACACATGTAATATCAAAGCCTGGCTCTTCATCCCCAGGCAGTGCTCATTATAGCACTGCCGCATATGATAGGCCTCCTGGGTCTTAGCAGGACGTATGTGGCCTTTCAGCCTTTCTATTGCCCCCAACAGTCCAAAACAAGACAAGTTAAACTGTCCTGTCCTCTGCTTGTCCTTCACTATTATGTTCAGGGGTCATATTGTTTAATTAATCATTTTAGTTTCTCAAAAAATGATATAAGCTAGTTAAACAACCATTCTAACATGCCTAAACAGGATCAAAGACCATTTTGAAAGCAGTTTGCTTTCCAACAGGACGACAACACAAACATAGGGAAGACCACAACCAGCCCCCAAAACGCACATATCAGTTGACCTTCTAATGGCGGCGAACTGGCCTGTTTGTTATCAACAGGCCAAACCTGAATCAATAAAAAAAGTTAAGTCTCTCACTGATGTGACCTGGTAACGACCTCTTTAACAAAACCCTGGTTTATGTAGTTTCCAAGAGGGGGCTGAGACAGGGAATCACCCAGTACTTTCTATACCTCGAGCAGAAGAAGAGACTCATCAGTCCTGTCTGGTCCAAAAAGAGCCAATAGTCCATCGGACAGCTCCTGCTGTTCTGCTCAGAGCACAGCCACTGCCTCTAAACCACAGCCCATAAAGGTGAGAGGGGCTTCGAGGTGTCCCTCCCCCTGGCCCAGCAGAGATAAATGAACCTTGGTTACAGTCACTACAGTCTTCTAATATGCCATAGACAAAAAGATTCCCTGCTGAGAGAAGGTAAAGAGAGCAGGGAAGAGGGGAGTCCCTTATCAAAGGACTGGGAGATGTAGTAGCAGAGGATTTTAATTGTCAATTAAGCATGCATAATACAGGCTGTGCCCTGGCAACGTGATGAGGGGTCCTGCTGTGCTATTATTTTCAGGCCAGCTTCTGACACCAAAAACAGCTGATGCTGCTGGCAGGCCACTGGCAGGACACCTTGTAAGTCCCTTGACTAAAAGCATGGAAGAGACCAACTCCATCCCGTTGCTCCCCCTTCTCAACCAAATTAACACACAACCTGAGGTCACTGACTGGTCAGGTGTGCAAAGGGAAACACCACACGCAAACAGACAAGCCACTCATTGCAGTGCTATATGCACAGAAACAAGCAACACACCCACAGAAAAAGAGCACTCTGACTCTTTAGCGCTCAGACATGAAAGAAACAGTAGGTAATAAGCTGGTCGGTCAAAGACTGTGTTGCTTTTACAGCCTAGTCTTGCCATATCAAACTAAGTCAATAAATCCTTCTGGGAATACAATTCATTAGATAACACAAGAGTGGGGCATGCAGTAAACCACAGTGACCCTACAGGTACAACTAGGCTTCGAGAGCGAGCTGAGCCACATGACCTGGGGTTGACCCTGTGTCCTGTCCAAGGGTGGCTGCTCTTTGTGTCTCACTCTTGCCTGCTGACTTCAGTGGAGCTGAGATTGCAGGTACAATGCAGATTGTTCTTGGTGTGTGTTTCAAAGCTGGGAATAACAATGCCATTTGCTCAGCTCACTCTGTCACTCTCATTGATCACTGCTCTCCTCTTTGCTTTCCCTCTGATCTCATCAACTATGTCAAGTCATCTTTAACTGGTGGAGTGATTATAATGGGGCTTGTGCTAATTATTCTTTCTAGACTAAACCGCAGAAAAGCCAAAGCTCAGTGATTTTATTTTCTGACTCAAAGCAACATTCAAAGGTTACCAGGAAGAATCAAATAACACATGTAAGCTCACAGTGAATGTATCAGTACCTTGCATCTTGCTTGGTGGGGAGCTGCTAGTTTGTGGGTGATGCGGGGAACTATGTGAAAGGAGGGAGTTTAGGCTATGCGCTGGCCCACTGTAGGCATCCATAGCCAACTTTTGTCTGAAGGCTTCTTCCTTTCTTCTGTTAGCAAACCAGTTGTAGACTCGCACCTCTGTGACCAGGTTGGAGCCAAGTCCATGAGCTTTCGATGGAGACACTCCTCTTTGGAGGCACTCAGCCCTGAATGTAGTCAAGGAAAACACATTAGCATATTAACTGGGATGAAATTGAGTAATTTATTTTGACAATCAGAGCAAGGTCATCTTACCGGTTGCACTCCTCCACCAATGCCTCTCTCTCCTCTTTGCTGGGGTTCTTCTGCCGCTCATAAGCCTGGTAAAGGATTTGTTGGGATGCAGGCCCCCATTTGAAACGGTTGCGTCTGAGCTTCTTGCAAGCAGGCTCAATAGCAGCATCATCACCTGGCTGGACCATACCTTGCCCAGACTGACTAAACTCTGAGAAAAAAAGGAGTACCTGATCCTGATTTCCTTTGTCTAACATGGTGGCGCCAGAGCCTTGTGTGGCCTGGTTGAATTCTGAAACATAAAAGAAAAGGTTATTAGCGTCACATGTAGAATTTTCATATAGGACATGAGCATAGCATGAGTATTGTGGCCGGGAAGTGCAAAACAACATTACAAAGTGTGAAACACTTTTACAAAGCTCGAGACATGTTTACATTTTGAAAAACATTTTTAACTATCATCGGACACAATTACATAGGAAAAACTATTTTATCAAGGACGAAACAAATTTACATTTTCCAAAAATATTAACAAGACGCAAAACACTTTTACAAGTCCCGAAACACATTTAAAATGACAGATTCCTTACGGAAAGGGAATGTACCAATGTAAATTTGTGCTGTAGAGTACATGCATGGCGCAAACAAAGTTTATGGTGACCGAACATGGACAGCGTCGAGGATTGTTTTGCCTGTGTTGTGGCATACACATGAGCAGCTTAACACAGTTTTTCTTTACGTGTGGTCGGTGTTTGGAGTTTATAAAGGATGCGGACCAGACAAAAATACCAGACATACTGCACCAATGTGCTCAATATTTTAACGAGGGCCACTCGTACGCTGTTATCATGGACATGATATCAAGTCTACACGGTGTAAACATCTGCTTGAGGACTCTTAACAGTAAACTGAATGAAGACGGTGTTACGGTTTAACTGGTGTCCGTGTTAAATGAGGCCCTTTTTCAGATGTAAACTATTCACGTTTGCAGATTGGCATATTCGTCACTTTTTCACAGCCACAAAACATGCCCATACCGAAAAAAGATTCTTATTACTTTAATATCTGTGTAGCAGAACGGTATTTAATCAAAATTAATGTAAAGAAATAATTATAATTTATATGTCATCAACGGGATTCAAACCCAAGTCAAAAGGGTCTGCACAAGTATCTACCAACCTTCCTAAATGAGCTACCCGGGTCTACAGGTCAGGGTAGGTTTTGATATCTTTATCAGTCAACATGTGCCGTGCTTTGATTGTTTCCATGTATTTGGGTTTACATGTTTCTACATACTCTCATGCTGATATTTTCTCAGAATAGCTCTAATATTTATTAATTGCAGTTGGTCAAACCATGATTTTTATAGTTGTAGACTCATGGAAACCGATCTACAAAATCACACACGAGCTAGATATTATTGATATTTTCCAGTGTGTGTTACATTCCTGGTCACTCCTGGTGTGTTGTACATTCCACGTCACTTCCGGTGTGTTGTACTTTCCGTAAGGAATCTGTAATTGTACATTTGTTTTGGGACTTGTAAAAGTGTTTTGGATCTTATAAATTTTTTCTAAAATGTAAATTTGTTTCGTCCTTGGTAAAATTGTTTTTCCTATGTAATTGTGTCTGATGATAGTTAAAAATGTTTTTCAAAATGTAAATTTGTCTTGAGCTATGTAAAAGTGTTTTACACTTGGTAATGTTGTTTTGCACTTCCAGGCCACCGTACATGAGCAAAGTAGGACAAGTGTGCCATGAGCAGGTGTTATTATTTAAAATCATCCCAGCCTTGTCAAAGACTAATAAAATAAAAATAAAAATACAACTGTATTTAAACTTTTATTTGATAAAATAATTGCATTTTATTGTGTAAATTGTTTTTTAGTTGGTGCTAAACAAACTTGTCGAATTCTGAATTAATTTAAGTTTATCCAATTATGAGTTATTTTTGGAGTGTAAGAGTAAATGTTGAGAAAATTTAGAGTTGGCCTTATGCAATGCAATTTTTAAAACAATAAAATGAGAATGAGGTACAAATTAACCCCACTAATTTAACAAAATGTTAGTTATGTTTTCTAATATCATATTGTCGATCTTACACAGAAAAAATGAGTGATGACCTTTGATTCATACCACTGTCCCCTTATATGCCATTGTGCTTTTTATGATAACATAATTTCAAAATGGGTGACAAAAGCGATGATGCAATAAGTACGCACCTAAAAATGTTTATCAATATCTACACATCGCGCAGGTGCATTATTTAGAAGGTAACTTATTTTAGATTATCTTCATAATTCAAACAGACATCAAAAGGTTAATTAACTTCCCCAAAAAAATCAGGTTTAAAGTGCTGCCACACTCGAGTCATAAATTCCATTTCATGCAACTGAACAAGGACGTTTTATATGACCTACAAAATTCCAACGGTGGCACTGAAAACCGTCACATGCAACAAGAAACAAATATTAACTTACGTCGCAAGATCTCCCGCTGTTTCCTCACATACCAGGTGTAGAGCGCCGCGCGTTTCTGCGTTTTCATAGGCGTGCCTTTATTCAGGTGCTGCGACAGGTGCGACTGATTCAGGCCCGTCACATCCACCACCTCGCGCTGAGGGATATTGTGCTGCTGCATGTAGCCTTTGATCATGCGGGCCGCGCGCCACGGGTCCTCCCTGAAAAGATCGGAAACATTAAACATAACACTCATTTAATACAGTCCTATTAAAAAAGTTGTGTTTAATGGTTGGTTTCGCTTCTTTTATATTTATGACACTCTTTAACATGTTCTAAATTTTGCAAGTGCGGTCAATTGTTCCCAGCGCTAATAAACAATAGTTAATCAGTGTATTCAATGGGTTGTAAATAATTCCAAAGGTTAAAGACTTCATTTCGTGCGTGCAATTCAACTACCGTGATTTAATTACAAAAGGACAAGTAAAAGACAATTGGAGGACTTCATGGCAGCTGTATATTGTGGTCACTGTAAAGCAATTTGTTTCAAATCTAAAGAAGGTACTAAAGTGTAGTTCGACATTTTAAACGTTGCTCCGTATTTTAGAAAAGAGAAATGTTGAGTAAGACAAAAAATCGCTTAAATCAAAGCAAAATTTTATTAAAAGAAACCAATGAATTTGACAAAGACATAGCCGTTTAAAAGCCGCAGCAGTCTATATTCTTAATTAAATGTAATAAACAAAACATTAACTTCGATATTATAGGCTAGGATAAAAGCTTAAAAATAAAAATGTTTAATATTCTAAAACATATGGCCAAACATTAAAGCTATATTTAAACCAAGCCTATATATATATATATATATATATATATATATATATATATATATATATATATATATATATATATATATATGTTGGCCACTTTTAAAAAAAATGAAAAAGAGTGTTAAGTTTATAATCAAGTTAAATAAAACAAAACTTTACTTTAAACCTTTAGACTTTAAAATAAAAAATAAGAAAGAAAGAAAGAAAGAAAGAAAGAAAGAAAGAAAGAAAGAAAGAAAGAAAGAAAGCGAATTTCACCCGACATATTTTAACATGCATTAAAATAAAGTTCAGTCTTACCATAGTAGCTAATTTCAGAAATAACTTTTGCTCCTGAAATCTGTCCGGACGGTTTTGGTTTGGATACTGACAACACATATGTCTGTGCTCGAACTTGGTTTATAACTTTCGACAATGAATAACTAGATCTCCATTCACGCTAATCATTCGTCACTGTGTATCTTTCAGTTGATGATTTATAGGATAAAATTAATAACTCAACTCCACGTGCTTTAGTTTTGATTTTCCTCTATTTCGTGGCGCTTCTGACGGTGTAACAATTATAGAAATAATATTCTTGTTGAATTAAATAGCATCCACATTATAGCATAGGCCTCCTTTTATTTATTGGCCGCGTGGTAGGCCTATTTTAGTTATCATTTCTAATTGTCAAAATATTATAACTAAAAGTGCTATATTAATACAATAAATATATTATCAGTATTTTCGCAAATCCTAAATTTTTTTTTCAAAAGGCCTAAATTTACGCACAAGCCTGCATTCAGACAACAGCGCGCATGTTTGTGTTTTCTTTCGAGAGGCCAGAGGTGGTTAATAATAAATAGATCTTCTTTAGTTGATATATCTCTAAGCTAAAGAAATAACTCACGTAGATAATTAGTAACCAGAATGTGAAAAGAGGAAACACTGGCGCGTGCTTTTAAAATTGTAAACACCGGTAGAATAATCTGTCCCGAAATAATCTCCTTTGCATTATTTAAGAAAAAAATATTTCGTTTCTAAATTACAACTAGGCTACGATTTTTATTTCTGTCACAAAATAATTCCGCTATATTTTAAGAACTTCAGACAGTAATTACATTTGTCAAATAACAAGTTTTGTACGCATCTCATTGACCTTTGATTTAAAAGATCAGAAGTTAGCAATGAAACTTTTCTATTAGATTTTTTTTTATATCAGGTAAAGAACATTTTACATTTTAGTCAAATTTAATGACTAGCTGGGTGAATAAATAAGCACTTTAATCTTAATGGAAAATTCAGCTGCTTCAACGGCCTTAATTTCACACGTAACAGTCGGCCTTCAAATACATTATAGCAGCACACTGTCAGATCAGAAGCTCCACAGGTTATTTCACTTTAATCTCTTTAACTTGTATATAAAGCAATGGATAACAACAGTGTAACTTTAAGTAGCCTATATTTTATAATAACATAAGTAGGCCTATAGTTCAACATTTTAAAGGATCATAAATTCCCTCATAGTTGTCCTAAAATTATTCAACAACATCAATTCTTTTGGCCAATTTTTAAAAGTATAGTTTTTGATCCACTTTAAATCTAAATTATTTAGGCCTATAAAAATAAAAGTAAATAGGTAAAAACTCACGCCAACATTCGCTCTATTTCTGCCCTCTGCTCGGCCGCTTCCTCGGTGTTTTGAGACTGGAGCTCTTTGAGAATTGGCGGTGTGTCATAATCATCCCCGTCCTCGGAGCCTTCATCTCCGGATAACTTCCCTTTACTGTGTCCATTAGTGAGCGTATGAAACACCGGCTTTGAATCCGTATCGCTGAGTTTGGAGCCGGACGGGGACATCTGCAGACTGTCCAGTTTAACTCCAAAAGCGCTCGGGCTCGGGTCCAGGTCCTCCAAAGCTTGCAGAAGCACATCTTTGGTAACTCCAGAGTCCAACAAGGCGCTCAGAAGCTCCTGTTGCAAAGATGTCAACTTGGACACCATGTTTGCAAACATCTAAATATTTAGGAGGTCTAGAGAGGGAAATGCGGTATTATGATCTTTCCCCTCCTCACGCCTCCAAGTGTGAGCTCCTCCAAAGACACCTGCTCCGAGAAGGTTAGGCCACTTCCCTGTCGGACTGAACGATATAACTTGCCATGATGCTTCCAGAGGGCAGGCGATATAAAATATGGTAATGAGTGGGCGGCTGCTGAGGGCCTTTATGCAAATGAGCTGTCCCAGGCCATATCGACTGATGCGCAGGTACTGCGTGTTTACACACTCTTATCAGCACAGCACTTTGGACTTTGGCAACGTTTGGTAAAGCGCGTTGTAATAATAATAATAATAATAATAATAATAATAATAATAATAATAATAATAATAATAATAATAATAATAATAATAATAATAATGCTTAAAATTGTTTAGCTGAATAGATGTCTTTGGGACTAACAAACAGTAAGTGAAGTGCTGTTTCAATATTTAAACTAAAGATGTTCTTGTATCATATAATGTGTGCATTAACTTAAATAGTTTTTGAATACTTTCAATAATTCACAAAATATGTTTATGAGTTTCTTTCCTCTGTTAAGCACAAAGTAAGATATAGGCCTATAAGAAAGCTGAAAACCTAACCATTTACTTCCATATCTGTTTTTGCTACTATGGAAGTCAATGGTTACAGGTTTTCAGCTTTCTAAAAAATATCTCCTTTAGTGTTCAACAGAAGGTATAAAGGTTTGGAACCACTTGAGGGTGAGTATATAGTGAGTAAATTGTCGTTTTGTGTGAACTGTCCCTTTAAATACATCCATTCTCAATTAATCCAGAAACATTATATGTGATTTCCTGGCATATACAAAGTATCTATATCATAATATATAAGGCTAAAAAAGCAGTTATTAGTAACACTGACAGAGAAACAAAGAGAAAGCACACATTAAGCGAATAGTTATTGGGTCAAAATTGGGTCGACCTATTTTAAAGTTGTATTTACTCCATGCATATTTTAAATGCAAGTAAGTGTTTCAAACAACTCGTGTGAAAAAAAAAAGTCAAATATGGGTAAAATAATGTTCCATCAATTGACAAGAGATATATTTAAAAAATGAAATTTTATTCTGACATGTACTTATTGTGTCACATTAAAAAAAAAAAAGAAAAAAAAGGTTTCTTTAGTTAATGTTGGTTTATGTGTTCACTAAGAACTTATTATGGAAAATACATGTATTAATCATAGTTCAGTATTTACTACTGCGTTATTAAGATCCAAATTCATGCTTATTAACATTAGTTAATGCATTAAGTTTACAACAACTAACAATGATCAACTTTATTTCATTAACTAAAGTTATCAGAATAATAAATACTGTAATTAATGTATTGGGTTACACTTTATTTTGATGGTCCGTTTGTTGAATTTAAGTTACATTGCATCGACATGCCAACTAGTTCTCATTAGATTATTAGTTGACTGTTAGGTTGGGGTAAGGGTTGGGGTTAGTATAAGTTGACATGTACTTGCAAAGTTTCTTATAGTCAGTTAAATGTCTGTTAAAGGAGCAGTATTAGCAGATATTAAGCATGGACCATCAAAATAAAGTGTTACCATTGTTCATATTAGTAATTGACTACAACCTTGTTGTAAAGTGTTACCAAAATATGTAAATGATTATGCAACCATAAGCAATTCTATTATATTTTAAATAATTTAAACCTTTTTGTGGTCATACACTTTAAATAAAATATTTGTTGACTTTACTTACAATAACTGTTGCTTTTAAAATGATACATTGGCTTTACTTAAAAAAATAAGTATATGAACTATGTGCATGGTTATAAAAAATTAAGTTAAATCGAGTTAACAGTTCCAATTTACAACAGGTCAACTTGTCACTTTTAAGGCAAAGGGTTTACACACCTTTTTAAAGTACAATAAATAATCACTTCTTACAGTGTAGTGATTGAAGAATTATTAATAAAATGTTTTTTTTTTAAGTGTTAAAAAGCCAAAGCTTTGTCTAAACTGTGTTAAGATGATTTTTCTACACACTGTAAAACGCAAATCAAAAATCGTTTGAGGAAACTGATTACAACAAACCATTTAATCCTAATGAGTGCTGTGAACTTAATCCATTTGAGTAAACGAAGCAATTGTAGCACAGTAAACCCCAATAAATGAAGAGAACTTAAACTAACTGAGTTCTGTAAAACCCAATAAGTTAAGCCAAGTCAAACCGTTTGAGGAAACCAATTGCAACAAACCATTTGAGTTAAAAAAAAAATAATAATCCTAATGAGTACTGTGAACTTACGTCATTTAAGTTGAAGTAATGAAATATTTAATTAAATCATTACCTTCAACACTGAGTTCAAAACTTTTCAACAAAGTAAAATTAACTATCAGTAAATTTTGAGTTAACTACACTCATTTCATTTGATAACTTTGACTGCTGGGTTTTACAGTGCACGTTCACTTTTGGTCTTTTGAGCATCAAAGCAATCATGTAAAGTGTAATGCAAGTTTTTACCCCTATAGATTAAAATGTGTTCTGTTTAATTTGTTTGCATCTGAGCAAAAAAATATGACTATAATGCATTTTTAGCAAGATATACAGAGCATGGCAATTAAATTGTCATTCTGTGTAAGAATATTAAGAATATTGTAATATAAATTTTATATAACTAACAAAAATTTTATGCATATTTTAGTACAAGAATCATTTGACGACATATCAAAAGACTTTTCAAACACTCATTATTGTCATAAGTCCTACATACAGTGCTCAGCATATATAAGTACACCCCTCACAAAAGTATCTTTTAAATTCATATGTTGAATCGAAAACTATACAATATTATGTTTGTGCATATTAGATTAGTCAGTACTAAAGCCAAATCTGGAGCTTATCTAACAAAATAACTTACGATAATTGTCCAAAATAATAGCACATCCAAATTTATATCTTATAGAAAAATATTAAATACAAATTTTAAAGAAAGACGGAAAAGCAAGAAAAGCTAAATAATGGAAAAAATTAGTTGAAATTTTGTAAGTTGTAATTATTTTTGCAATATTTAACTTAAATTTAATTGTATTATTTTTCAATTTATCAATATGTTTGGTGACTAAAATATTTATATCTGTTTAATAAATATCTGTTTAGATCTGTTTAATAAATATATTTTGTTTAAATGCACCAAATACAATGCCTACTGTATGTTGAGTACAATGGGGTGTACTTAATTATGCTGATATGCTGAGCACTGTACTAAATAACAGCGAAACGTGGCTAAAACAGTTAAAACTGCTACTTATGCTTGCACCAGCAGGGGCAGATTGAGTAAGTGGTTTGTGTAGGTCGTGAAGCGGTTGGAAGGGCAGTAACGGTGCATGCAAATCCTCTTTCACTGCCAGGTGCTGAAGCTCAGAGACAGACTTCACTCTATAACTGACATTCATGAGCACAGCAACACCTGATCTCAACACATCTTTGAGTCTGAGTCACTCTCAGTGTTTGAAGAAGGATCAAGACACTTTCTCTCCAGATCTCATTTACATTTATACATTTGGCTTTCCCTCAGAGTTGAACCCACAACCTTAGAGTTGCGTGCACCTTGCTCTACTATTTGTGGATTCCAACTCCTGATAATTCCTATGAAGAGACTGATATGTGAATATAGATTTAAAATTTGTTAAATGAAAATGATGTGGTGAAAGAATATTGATAGCTGGATGGAGAAATTCTCTTTCGTTTTATTAGTGACACATACTGGTGCTTGCGTGATTTGTGTGTTTTCAGAACTCATTTTGAGGACAAATTCACGCAACTTACACATTCACTGAGGACAAATTACCTCAATCACTGACACATTAAAATTTTCTCATCTAAACAGTTAAAGTCAGAATTATTAGCACCCCTGTTTATTTGTTTCCTCTATTTCTATTTAACAGAGATGATTTCTTCAACACATTTCTAAACAGAACAGTTTTAATAACTAATTTCTAATAACTGATTTATTTTATCTTTGCCATGATGACAGTAAATAATACTTTACTAGCTATTGTTCAAGATACTAGTATTCAGCTTAAAGTGACATTTAAAGGCTTAGCCTAGTTAGTTAGCTTAACTAGTAATTAAGCAAGTAATTTTATAACAATGGATTGTTCTATAGACTATTGAAAAAATATATTGTTTAGGGGGGCTAATAATTTTGACCTTAAAATGGCTTTTAAAATTTTTAAATTGCTTTTATTCTAGCCAACATAAGACAGAAAAAAAGAAGAAAATAAGAAGAAAAATATTATCGGAAATACAGTGAAAATGTTACACATCATTTGAAAAAAAAAAAAAAAAATTCAAAGGGGGGCTAATAATTCTGACTAATGAAACAAAAAGAGAATTTCTCCATCCAGTTATCGATATTCTTTCACCACATCATTTTCATTTAACAAATTTTAAATCAATATTAAAATATATTAAAATATCCATACCAACCACCCCCCGCCCCCCTATTTGTTGTGCTCAAAAGAAAAAAAAAACAGCAGGGAAAAAAATATTAGCTCGACCAACAAACTTGTGAAATACAGTGTGCCACAATATCACAAATTTATAATTTTGTTACAAATTGTTGAAATTTTGAAGCCTAAAAGGAAGCCTGTGTGACATTTTGCTTCAGAGGCATGAAATATTGTGGCTTTATTGGATTTAAATAGGGACAGTTTTGTCTTGAAGGTTCTGAGAGAATATTTAAATATTTAAAAAATACAACTTTTTGCCAAAAAGTATCACAAAAACTAAAATGGAAAAAAACTAAAATGTCAAAAAGCACTACTCTTTGAAGACCTTTTACATTCACACACATCTGTATTGCACACTAAATGAAAATGTAATGTAGGTCAATAAATAAACTATATCTGAATACAGAATTTCTGCAGGTTTCACCAAGTTAAAAAATGTAAGACTTTTTAAGACCATTTTAAGACCATTATGAAGGAAATTTTAGAATTATACAAGGCTAAATGCTAAGGATTTTTTTTTTCAAATATCCCAGTTGGAAAAGATTTTCACTTGTCCTACCAAAAAATAATTATAATTCAATACATTTAATAATACAATAATAATAATAATTTAATAATATAACAAAAGAC